AGCACATCGAGCTCTCCCCAGTGCTGCGGTCTGGAAAGTGTATTGAGCTGAATGGCTCAATACCCACAAGTACCAAGGTCTTGCCTCGCACCAGCTTTTGTAAATACTGCTGGCTTGTTCACTTTACTAGCTCCTATAGATGACATGCGAGTTTCTGTGGCCAGGAACCTTTTTAAATCTCATCAGCAGAGGGTTTTTAGTTGTTCCTACACATGTTCAGACCCCTGCGCTTTGTACTGACCACAAACACTTAGGGCAGGGCTGGACAAATCCCAGGAGTCAGATAGCCAATGCCAATTAAAACATAGCAGAGGAAGTAAAGGGAAGGGAGGGGAGGGAAGGGAAAGAAGGGAAGGAAGGGAGGGAAGGAAGGGAAGGAGGGAAGGAAGGGAAGGAAGGAAGGGAAGGGGCTGTGAGCACCAGTTCTAGGGCTTGGGGAGCGGGATCAGGTAAGTAAAAGGTGCTTTACACAGTTCCCCTAGAAAGAAAATGAGCTGTAAACTCTTGCAGTGCAGGGGCAGCCCCACTGCAAGGGCCATTTTTTTTATTTTTAACTGTAGATCAGCTTTAACCCTCAGGCAAAAAAATATAACATTTAACCTCACTTTAAACGTAACCCCTGGTACTGCTTGCTTTACTGGCACAGAAAATAGAATTCCATACTTCCAGGCTTTAGAGAGAGGGAAAGGGTTACTTGCTGAAATGTATTGGATTGTGGACTGCGTCACATGCACGCTCTGTGCTATATATACACACACACAAGTGAAACTCGAATAATTAGAATATCGTGCAAAAGTAATTGCAGTAAGTGCTGCAAAAGGGGCCCAAACCAAGTACTGAGTACATATGCATGCTTGTACTTTTCAGAGGTCCGATATTGTTCTATGTACAATCCTTGTTTTATTGATTGCATGTAATAATCTACTTTTTTGAGGTTGTGGATTTGGGGTTCTTGGGGTTTTCATGAGCTGTAAGCCATAATCATCACAATTATGACAAATCACGGCTTGGACTATCTTGCTTTGCATGTAATGAGTCTATCTCATATATTAGTTTCACCTTTTAAGTTGCATTAGTGAAATAAATGAACTTTGCACGATATTCTAATTATTAGAGTTTCACCTTATATATACGGTATATGACTTGGGATCATTCTTACATTCCTCCTGTGGTTTGGCACCATGAGACCATCAAGGAGTTCAACAATGGCAGAATGACAAAAGTGCTGACGTAGATAAGTTCCTCGGGGACTGTAACCTTATACCCAACCACCTGCAAATCCTGCAGAGACAGGCCGCTTCCCTAACGGGCAGCAGATAAATAAGAAGTCTGCTCTAATTACCAGGAAGGATATGTTTTTAATGGAGAGTACTGAAATCCCTAAATATGACAAATTGCTTCACCTACATTCATTGCAACAACAGCTAATGCTGGAACACGATATGGACTGTCTCA